CCTTTGATATACCATAACGCAAGCTTAACCTAAAGGTAGTTACAAAATTATGGTTAGAATGCGAGATATAAGCATGCAGCTCGAACAAACCACATTATTCATCTTGGCAGTTTGTGTAACTGTACGGTTGCTGGAAATATTGTTTAAGTTTTCAAGGAATGTGTCAGTAACAGTACCACTTCATAAGACATGGTGCGCACTGTCGTGTTCGAATCCACCACATTGTAGTATTCTCACGGAAACCTTGAGCCGTGTGCGCTTTGGTTTCGGTTGAGTCCTTTGTAACTAGATTGCTTTGAAGCAAGGTTGGAGCAAGGTTGGAGAGTTTGTTATCATGTTTTGCGGTGGGTTTTGACAGTGGCATTATGGCTGGGATCAAATCTACATACATTGTACAGTAGACTTGCTCATAACGTATATGGTAATAATGTATATTTTTCATATTGTATTGGGTTTGGGTGGCTCCCGTTGTGGTATGCGGGGAAATGGCCAGGATATTGTATAATGTATAGTATATAGTGTTTGGTGTTGGTTTGGTGGTCCAATATACAGTATGACACCTAGTTTACCAAGGCCCGGGGTGGTCGGAGATCCTGCAAGTAGCATGAAATTTTTTCATTAATGCGCATCTAGTGCTAACTCAATGGTGTGTAGCACCAAAAAACGCCAGCCGCGTCCTGAGCCTGGCCCATTGGTCACGATAAACCAAAGTTGAGTACCATGGAGCTAATCAAGCTCTGGGAACAACTCGAGGCAGCATGCATTGCACAAGTTAATGCGGGCTCTTCCTTTGATATTATTCACAATCTTCGTAGGCTCAGAGGGGTTTTGCGACGCGAAGAAATTCAGAATGCCAAGCAGGCTACTCTAGACACGTTCTGGAACATGAAGTAGACTAGATACCGACGACTCGTTGAATACATGCAATGATGCTGTGACCGTGGGAACTGTTCCATCTCAATTCCATCTTGTATATTTTTCATAGTGTATAGAGAAAGGGTGGCTCCCGTCGCTATACGTTATGAGCAAGTCTACTGTAGTATGGGTTCGTGCGTATCTTCTTGATGCCCTTTGTCACCTCCTGCCGGAAGATTTCAGCTGAGGTCTTGCCAGACTGGCCTTCTCAGCATTGTTTCGATTACGCACGCGATGGAAATCTGGTGTTCATGTAGTGCACACTGGCAGAGAGCACTTATGAGGTTTGACATGAGTAATGGCATGTTACTGCAACTTGGCAAGCTACTCTAAGTGCCACCCATTCGCTGATACATTTGTGGGGTCTAACCTGCATCGTTTTTCGACATCCCTTACATACATATGGCATCTTCAGTGTGTTGGTTAGGGTCAGTACAGCTAACATCATATCGATGCCATAGGCCAGAATCCAATTTTGTTCATTCACCGCTTTTGTTTAGTTGTGGAGCTGGCTAAATAAAAGGGTCCTGCCTTAGGCTGCCTATTACGATACTTCGTCGGGGCGAGATACCCCAGAATGGTACTGGACTGTGCAATATCGACTGATGTGGCGGGCGAGGAAAGGGAGCAGAGTTGTCGAAATTTGAAGAAGCATCAATGAGTATTACGTAATACCAATGTCTAACACTAGCTGTATACAGTAGATGTCAAGTTACCTTGCGGAGCAAGGTCATGTTGGATGGCAGATAATCTGTCAGTCACCTGACGTGAACATCATGCTGTGCGATAATCGAAAATGATAGAACTGCGTCATCTCAGAACTTGGTCTCGATGAAATACAGATACAGTCAAACTCTGAGCTCGGTCTCGATGTCATGATACAAATACTGTAAGTCAGGCTCAAAGCTCGGTCCCGATGACACAATACAAATATAGATACAGTCCAAATATAAGGTGAACTTCAACGATGGCATAGCACCTCTCTTGAGGTATATCGATGTTTAGTCCAAGACTATGCCAGTTAGACAACAATGAGAATTGTCAGAAGTGCGTGGCTTACCTATCCGGTGCGAAAGTCCACCTAGCACGAGCTCGATCCCAAACGAGCTGTTTTCCTGCAGTCACATAGATTGATGACAGGCAAAAGGAATGTGAGGGAAACAAAAACACCCAAGGATAGGATGAACTGAGAGAGACCACATACCTCATCAACACGAATACAAAGTTGGCCCTGTGTCTCGTCAGGCGCAAGCAAGGAAGAAGGTATGAGAGCCAACGATCAGTAAACATCAGCGCGAGGCAACATGACTGGAGAGAACACATGGAGCTACATGCACAAAACGTTTCAGCAGATGCAAAAATCACGGGATGATATAGTGAGGATGGTGGAGCGCGTGAACCACAACCTAATGCTTGAAGCTTGAAAGCTTGAGGCCGCATTGGTCTATTTGGATTTGTTGGACTTTCGTACATTTTGCGTGCTGCTACGATGTTTTAATCGGCTTATCGAACGTGCTCAAAAGGCATTAGGACCAAGCTGAAGACGACGTCGAATATGCTAAAGGCCAACCTATTAATTGGCTGAAGAAAATACTTATCGCAGTGAGAACGAAAAACAAGCAGACTTAAGACTGCCGACGCCGTCACGCAGATTCGGGGGTCCGAAAACGACGAGTGTTGGAAGAGGTCGACAAAGCCGATTCCCACGAATTAAAAATTCTCCGGAGCAAGGTCATAAGTTCGCACAGCGAACCCCTAGTAACAATTGTTGTAGCTGTATTCTGACCGTGAGACGAGAGAGCCGAAGAACTCCGTTGATAGTTTGGCGGCTTGTATTAGTGACTTGTACTTGGATGACATTTGCGCAGAAATAGTGACCCATTGTTGCTTCATGGCTGCTGGAATGTGACGGCGGTTTCCAGCCACGGTGAGAATGGTGTCCGAAGACGGTGTCGAATGAGAGCGCAGTCCAGTGCCATTCTGGGGTATCTCGCCCCGACGAAGTATCGTAATAGGCAGCCTAAGGCAGGACCCTTTTGTTTGGCCAGCTCCACAACTAAACAAAAGCGGTGAATGAACAAAATTGGATTCTGGCCTATCGATATGATGTTAGCTGTAATATCACTGGGACGATCGACTGCTGATTTTGAGGTAGCATGATATTAGGCTATCTGCTTCTAGAACCACTACCCCCGAGAACTGATGTGGACGGTGCCAGTGGTGGGGTGTGTTATGGGCATGATGTTAGTACTAGTAAATAATGATGCGACGGCAATCAACTTGAATGGAGGCCCTACCATGCGCTAGTATGGCGCAACTTGAGAATTTGAATGTGTGGGCTTTAGCTAAAGGATATTTCAACACGAGTTTGGTTTTCTTTGTGTTTGCCTATGAAGGACCGCAAGACAAAAATTGATTAAGTGTGCTGTTGTATTTCGCAAATCAGAGCTTCACTAATAGTACCTTACACTAGGGCTGGCTAGGAAGGGCATTCCGACTACTGCTGCATAAGATGTCACCTGAAGAGACATACCTTGCTCGCACTTTCTTCGAGGGACAGATCATAGACGGTAGACCTGCGATTTTGCTCTGGTTGGACCAATGCACTGGCAAATACCACGTCAACCGCACCCAAAGTGACATTTTCAGCTAAGATGTCAAACTCTCAGCCCAATACAAGGGCGATCTAGCTGCTTGGTTTCGTGATCTCATTCGCGTGGACAAGGAGGCCACTTCTAAGACTTATTGCTGGCGAACTTTGGGTGCACAGGTTTTATGTGACGGCTCCCAATTTCATCACTTTGTATCTTAGAATTTCTGTGATGTTGATAGTCGAGTTCGGTGATGTCCTCCATCGCGATAACAAATGGAACATTCCCAAGCACATAAGACCCCTCACAAAAGAAGCCGAAGAACAGCATTCCCTCGTTTACAATGTGGTTGGCCTTGCCTTTTGTGACCCTACACCAAAGCTGGCATACTTTATTACTCGCTACTCACTGGACGGCAAAAGGGTCTAACATTACGATGACCTTGGGTTTCTGGAAGAGATTATAGTGAGAGTGAGCTTGAAGTGAAGTGAGGAAGATCGTTACCTGCTCCGTTCGATAGATATCTAACTTATGTGATTGACGGCACGGCCCCTTATTCAGTGATAACTTTGATGCTACATCTTCGGAGTTCCTTCTCTGCCGGCTGAAGAATGTCCGCCCGTTAATCGTCGATGTGCTCCACAGGCTCGAAGGGTCCAGAGAGGGAGGAAAAGAAAGTAGTCATTAGCCTAGCTGTACATGTCCCCAGGGCAAATATAATAACAAAGGAATGGTCGTGAACTCATCCAACTTGATCTGGAAGTCGAATGTAGAACATATAGGAATGGCGCGTCAGTACTTCAGTGGCCGCGTCACGGGCAGGACCGAGCTATGTACGCTGAGCGCTCGTCCCAGAGCATCACGTCATGTCACATGACTTTGTGTACAAGCTGCCGCACAACCAAATATTCTACGTCAGTGCATATCAATTTTCCGTCGTCGCTTACTCCGCCGTTTTCCAACAGACGGTATTCTCAGACTTCCAGCTCTCTGGAGACTAGAATTCCTCCCGCTTCTTCAGACAGTATTCAGAATGTGTCCGCATCTGACAAAACTACCAGGAACTTGGAAGTCAAATCTGCAGCGAGTCTCCCTGGCCACCTCACGGACTTCCATGACCGCCCTTGTCTATACATCCTCCATGCATGTGTCTAAATTCTGCAACAGGTAGGCACCTTTTTCATTGTCATCGTCTGCATGCTCATCTCAAGCAATTCGGCTGCGCAAACTTGTTGAAGCAGGTATTTCTCAAGATGAGCTGCCACCTCTTGACCCAGCCGAGGTCTCTGTCATAGTCCTATCAACCTGCCGCAACCTCTCATCAAAACACAGCTTAGCCTTTATACCTTGCCAAGCTACGCAGTCTGCATTCCCACTTCCGGAATCACAACACTCTCCCTCTACCACACATACATACATCTGACATCATTTGACTTTACGGTGCTCTTTGGAAGGCTGCATGGTAACTACCACTGGTATACCCGTGGTTCTTAGGCCGGTCATCCATCCATGCCCGGGCATGCATTTCGCATCGGCAGGGCCACGGAGCTTCTATTCGAAGGTGTTTACCCTGACATCGTAGCGATGCAGGGCCGCTGGAAATTGAGAGCTTTCCTTGACTACTGGCGTCAGATTAAGTCTATTTATTCTTTATTTATTGCTACTGCTTCATCCACTCCTATTGCTCTCACGCGCTTACAGTTCAATATGCATGAATGTCTTCGTCTTCGTCCCGTAGCCTCTTAAACTTATATCAATCATAAACATGTTGTCAAATCTCCTCCTCGTGCCTCGTGTTGTGTCAGGGTCGGGTGCCTCGAAGAGGCTCTCGGCTCGAGCCATGCTCCAGGTATGGTTTTGTCTCGTTTTCTCTTCTTCTCTGCGGTCCCCTCCATCCCACGCCTCGAGACTCTATCACAATACGCTCTGACGGTCTGTCCCCTATGCGTCCGGTTCTTTCAAAATTCTCATTTTTCAACACCCAATAACCCGGACTCTGAGTGCCCCTCCCAGACACGCGCACAAGGGCAGCCTGGCAGAGCCAGACCCTCCCCACCACCATGAAAGCTTCGCTTTCCTGGTAAAACTACCAACACCTCTACGTCGCTCGGTTGATCTGATCTGTATGTTTCACTGCTACCTCCTTCACGCACACGAAATCTGCTCGCCTCTACTAAACTAACCATCAACAGCATTTTGTCTCTCCTGTCTCTCCTCCCAACATTTCCTAGCATACGCAGCCTCTACTACAAAGCTGGCCATATCGCTCAGTGATCAGGTGCATCAGGATCCACTTGAGAAGGGTACTACCTGTGCCGTGCCTACCTTATGCCTCTCAAGAGCATCGCACGAGCCTCCTGAGATGCTCTTAAGAGGCTTAAGCACCCAATCAAGTGATCAATAAAACTCCTGCCAAAACATAAGACATTGTTTTCGGACTGAGTACTGATGACAACAGCATCCTGAATGGTCCGAAATGGTGAGCAACGTCCATTCCACCAATTCATTTCCCCGGGCTGGAAAAGAGGACAAGTCGGTGTGCGCTTTGACATGTAGGAGAGCCGGAGAGAAGTCGAGATGATGGAGCGTAGCCACCGACATAATGTCTGCGCAGGCAGCGCAGACCACGAGTGAGGCGGGATGCGAACGTGCTAGCAGGGCGGACATGACCAAACCATAAAGCTCGCCATGAAGAATTGTGGCCCCATCAGCATACTTGCCCAATGAGCCAGTGAGCGATCCTACTGGACAATCCTATCACCGGAGCATCCATCATTAGAGATGTCACCAGCTTAATATGTCACCAGTCACCAGTTATAACTATACCACACAGTTCGCTTTGGAACGCCGGGTGCTTGGGATTTGCAGGTAGTGTCAGCATCCAGCTCCCATAAGCGTTAAAAAGCACAAACAACAGCTTAGTCGAGTGCAAGGTCTGATAGTCTCAAAGATCACAGAAATCTGATAGTACAGAAACGGCCCTAATGAATACCCAACCATACGAGATGACTGTAGGGTGAGGTGAAGATATACTTGTGTTTTTAATTAATGTGTGCATGACCATCCACACCACTGCTGCACCACCTATCGATGCATATTGACCATGATACGCATACAACTACCCGTTAATAACCCACTCTCGTGGACAATTGGGCCTACATGCAGATACTATCTCACATACTATTCTACTGCTGTCTTTCCAAGTATTCCTCTACATACCAGAGCAGCAAGTCCATCCCTTTGCTGTGATGCCCTGCACCCGGGGCCTTCGTTAACCAACTTTGGAACTTATCCATCTTCACCCATACCACTCCAAAGTACCTTTGCGCTGCTTCTCTGACATGCGCCTGTCGGAAGACCGTCAAAGCCAGTGGCAGAACCACGTCTGGCCAGTCGCATACCGTTCTTCCCGTCTCCAAAGGCCCGTGAAGTTCATCCCCACATGTCGGCACATGACATTTCCAGCAGATACCCTTGTGGTTGTGGTACTTGATGGATGTCTTCCAGTCTCTGTAATCATCCCATGTCATACTCAGTCGCTCCAGTGAGGGGCACCGCCACATCGGATGTCCTGATCGTCCCCCTTGGTCATCAAAGGCAATGCACGGTGGACATCCCCTGTCCTTCATTTTGTCCAATGCTTTTCGCATGCGCTCCACTCGCTTCATCTCTTCATCTAGCCTATCGGTTCTTAACTTTTTGGCCTGTTCGTACGCCTTTGCAAATGGATCACTAGAGTTAGAGAGGTGGTCGATGGTGCGCTTGTTGACTGATATTGACCGCTGTTGATGGGTGAGGGTCCTTGGAACTGGTGCAGAGGGTTTGGTGATGGACGTAGGCAGCGCACGTGTATCCTGTTTTTCTGAGGGAGCGGGAACTTGACTGGGATCGTGATCGGAGTCTGCCTTGCAGACACAACACCGCTGGTTGTTTTTATGCCGTCTGCACTCCATTCCCTCGCCATCAATGTAGAGGGTCGACCCATAGCGAAGACAACGCTTCAAACCGTAATGGTAGATATAGTCCTTCGCGTACCACAGGCCTTTGTGGTCCACCTCCCGTCGTCCTATGGCGATTTTAGGAGGGCTGGATGATGGCAAGATATAACACCTCGCTGGCCGACCATCTCTACCACCTCTTCCTTGAGCCTGAATTATCTCCGTCATTTCCAAAGGGGTCTTCAGGTGGATGACGACTCGGACGTGCGGATAATCGTTACCCGTGCTGAATGCGCTTGTGCAGATCATGACCGGACATGTGCCTGCAAACCAGTCCATGTAGCACTGGACCCTAGAAGCGTCGCTCATCTCTTTCGATCCGTTATAGAATGGCCAACCGGACTGTGATGCTGCGATCAGTATATGCGCATACTTATTTGCCAAGTCGCTCACCTTGTTTGCAAGACTTTCTCCATCTTCCAAGTAAGTCACGAATACCAGTCCTCTGTCCTCAGAGGTCCATTCCTGTCGCTCACATGCTACGATCTGGATGACCGTGTCCTCTAGTGTATTCGATGGAGCTGGAGCTTTCATGATGTACTCTAACTCCGGCCGATTACTTGACTCCCTGATCTCGATGGCATTGTCTGCTAAACCAAAGGCTGCCTTGAGGGCGGCAACGCTAGATTGCGGGAGCGTGCCGGTCAGCAACACCAATTGCATGGAGAACTGTCTAATTTCCTGCATGTACTGCATCGCCTCTCTAAAGTTTTTGCATAGCAGTGGAAGGTGAGCTTCGTCAAAGATGGTTCTGCTGACCGACAGGACTTGGTTCAGTTCTGCTAGATGTTGTCTCCACGTCTTGAATTTTGCCTTATCTGCGGATACTAGAATGAGGTTTACATTTTTGAGCAACGGGACGTTCGGATTGTAGACTTGGAAAGGAACGCGCATGGCTTTCAGCTTTCTCTCCCAGTCAGTCATCAACGATTTTAGTGGAAGAACGACCACCACTGCCTTGTTTGCATCCATGATGGCAGGAATTATCGCCAGCATAGATTTTCCTCCCCCAGTCCTCAGCATCGCGATAACGTCTGTCTCTCGCTTGAGCACAGAGAGAACAGCGTCTTGTTGCTGGGAAGACCACCAATTGGCCTGCTGGTCACGGAGGAGGATGCGCAAGGTCCACAAACTTTTTCTGGCCAGTATCGAATCTTTGTTTTTCACCAACTGATTTTGTGGCGGCGGAGGATATTGTTCATCATCTTTTGACTCCGGTAAGTATATGCATGTCATCAAGGTCCTCTACTCACCGCTCAAAATGTTGATAGCTTTTGACGGGTCGCTACCAAGGTCATCGTCATCTGACAACTTCATTTAGTATGTTGCGCGTAAGCTACCTATCTGTGCTGCACTTACCGTTCAAAGCATCTAACTTGACGCCTGCAAGCTTGTTGCTGTCTGCTGAAGGTGGACTGGATGTGCCTGGACAGATCGCACCTTGCCCAGTCTCGCTGCTGGTAAACTCATTGGTACCTGGAGGATATGGTCAGCCGCCCGCATGCCGTTGGCTTTGCACTTACTTTTAAACATCTGTTCTCCATACCAAACCTCGCTGTCGTCTTGTGATCGTAATCAGCATACGTGAACGCTGATAGGTTAGTGCTTACCAGCTGTTGACAAGGCTTGGGTGGTTTCTTGACTTCCACCCACGACGTGTGTTTCTTCTGGACTCACGTACTCTGGTCTTTGATCTTTTGGCCAACGATCTTCGGATTGTGACGCATATTGCTGAGGCATGGCCGTCGCGAGCGCGTCACGTATCATGGTCTCCACTGCAGGCACCAGAGCGTTCACAATGCGAGCGACTACCTGGCATTCTATGCCTGCAACAAGCTCGTCTTTTATTTTGGCCATCACGTGGTTTTGCATGGATGATATCACCTCTGCACGTTGTGGAGGTGCGGCGACGGCGGCAGCAGCTGGAGAATTGGTCCCTTGAAAGTCCGAACCAAACTTGCCTGACTCTGCCAGCTGCTTGAATTCGTGGGACCTAGCAAGCGTGTACGCTAATTGCAGGCCTCCTGGAACGGTGTGCATTACCAACTGCCAATTGGTACTGGCTTGAAGGAATAGAGGCAGCAGGTCCTCTGGCGCCCCTGCAAGCGCATCTGGACTTAGACCGTATATCCGGTTTTCTGTAGATCTATTATGGCCGGCTTGGAGGGCTTCGACCGTATCTTGCTCGTCGTCTTCCAGCAAGTCCTCTGCAAAGCGACCGAGCTTGCGCTTGAATGCGGTACTGATGTGGCGCCATGAGTTGACGCCTAGACCGAAACCGAGGAACGGTATGCTGATCCTGGCCATGGTCGCAGTAAGCTGATCTGTGTTGAACAGTTTCTGGTTGTTGACAAAGAGGTGCGTTTGGTACATCTCTTTGATTGCTGGCCTATCGTGGTAGCAGTTGTAAGCAGCAATCTCTGCGAAGGGCCTTGTTAAGGCAAGGTCTTGGATTATGAGGTCCCCCGTGACGCCATCAATTGAGTGCGGGATGAGCTTGTCCATTCCGGACAGCGCGCCAGACTTGTGATAGGTCCTCAGCATAGTCAAGTTCTTGCCTAGCATGACCAGGTTGCGCTGTGAACGAGTCTGTCAATCGCATTGGTATATGCCCACATGTGCTCATGACGCAAGTACATGCCTTGGTGTTCCTGTAGGTCATCGCTGTAAGCTCTGTACCACGACCAGGCGCTCCGCTCAGCATTTCGCATCTGATCAGAACCAGCTTTTGAAATTCGGCGTAGTCTCTTAACCACCCCATCAACGTGCCCATATTCCAAATCAGTTGGCCATTGCGTACGACAGCGAACCGACTGAAGAGCTCTTTCTCACCAGTGAGAGCCTTGAGAAAGCGATCTCTGTCGGCGAAACACCACGCGTTCCGACGATCAGATATGAAGGAATAACCCACATCGTGGTTGGTATTGTCATCCGCGATGTCCTGGTAGGTCACGCGTATGTTCAGTCCAAGCAGAATTTTTTTTTCCCACAGTTCCACCATCTGTTCCTCTGTCGAAGCGAACATCTGCCTTAAGTCGTTTATGTGTATCTTATCGCCCTTGTACAGCATTTCGTGCCATGTCCTTCTGTCCAACCACCAGACGCGAGGTAGACTCATGGTCTTATAAGCGATCGCAGAAGCTCGGTGCTGAAGCGAGCGGATGCGACTAAAAGGTGAGTTGGTCTTCTCGGTGAACCAAGTTTGAAGGGCGTCGCAAGCAGCTTCATCATCACCGCCATACAACGAGGCGCTGAGGATCTTCAGCTCCTTCAGGCAGACGAAGCGTATGCAGTACTCAAGCCTCGCTAAAGGATTGGTGACATAGACTGGCTGCTTGTGGCCTCCGTCAGCCTCCAATGTGCTCAGAGCCATAAATCGCTCTGTTGGACAGGGAATCGGGTTGCCTTCTTGCTTGACCCACTTGACCATCCAAACCTTGGTGAGAATTGCATGAATCTTCTCTTCCACCCCTATCGTCCCTGTCAACGCGTCTTCCAGTTCCGTGATCGCATTCACGAGATTCTTCGGCAATGGAATAGAGTATTCCGCTTCTTTGCCTGTCCTTATCAGCATAGCCAGTAGAGATGTCGCCACGCGCACGTAGTCCTTCTGCGTTGCCGTTTCTTGATGGCGATGAAGAGGCGTGTTGCTGATACCTCTGCAAGCGGTTGAATTAGGACGTGCGTATGCTAATTGACTGACCTACTCTTTGAGGGGATCAGGAGAGTTCAACCGTTGCAGAATCAGTTCATCGGTGACCTCCAATAGCCTCAGGGCACCGTCAAAATACGCCTCGACCACGTGTGCAATCTTAGGCATGATCGGATCGTCTACCTTCGGAAATTCCACAAGCTTTCGTAGAGTCGCAACGTCATGACCAGCAACATGTTCGTGCCACTTGGTGGTCAGTAGCCAAGGGCTCACCATGCGTTTCTCCTGCGGAATTTGCTTGACCCTGATGACATCGGCCATCTCCTTTCGCATCCTGTCAATGACCTCCTGATGGTCACAGACCACATCGTGATTTCCAGCTACCCTCCAAAATTGCTTGTTGGACCCCTTATTCAGTTGTTGCATCTTGCAAGGGGACCATTGCTTGGGTAAGGGGACGGTAGGATGTTTGTCTCTATGATGCTTGGCCATCCAATCCCTGGCACCGCACGCAAATGCGCATGAATCACAAGCCAACCCATCATGTATTCTCAGACCTCGGTAAGCCGTGTGATACCTACCCCCAGTCACAGAGGGTGGAAGGGTTGGAGCAATCTTCATGTCTGCAACAGCTTGACAGTACCTATCGTCGTCAACCCGAACTGCTGAATGGGCATTTACGATATGGCTTGGCATCTGACTTGGGGGAAGAGCAACTTGGCAGGTTTGACAGCATAGAACGAGCAGATCAGGGTCGATGACGACGTTGATGGTGTCGAAATATGGATGATGAAGCAGGTAGTCCTGATACCGTTTGGAGGTAGTTCAAGCAATCGAAGACTGGAGCGTACCTTTGGAGCCAAGGAATTGCCGGTCTGTACAACCATTGTCAATCGATTTTAATCACACTGTGAAGCTATGATGCTTACTTGGGGGTCCTTCTGCGAGAAATATGCAACGGTATTGTCTGACTGATGCTGCCATAAGAAATTGACGTTCGCGTATCCTAGCATTATACGACCCACCTCTTGCTGTTCCAAGGGGATAGCGGGTATTTTTGTGTTCTGCACTTGATCGATCTGAGACTGAACATTCTGTGAGCTCATTAGTTATTATGTGCACTAATATCTACACTCGCCCTGTCTGTTTGCCGTGGAAGAGTCTTTTCTCGCCTAGTTTCCGGACTGCTGGGTGCGGACTGCAATCGATAGTCATTAGAGCGTATTTTTGTGGATCGTTGCGCTCACATGATCATCTTGTTGCGCCATAACCATCGCATTATCTCCATGACTAGGCTGAGGGCAATGATGTTTGATTAGCTTATGCGCGAGCCAATATGCTCCCTACCCTGGGGTCAGGTACGCTAGGTACTTGATCAATAGACTGGTTGCCTTTACCAGAAGCAACTTCCATCCTTTCATTCTGCTAGTGGTTATGAGTCGCTCGACATGCGCGTATGCTAATTTCAACAGCTTACTTCGACTGTGGTTTGAACCACCTCGCTGCTTGAAGAAGACTGCTTGAATCGTGATTAGCACACGTGCATGCTGATTGTGGAGTAGGCGCATCACCTCAACCGGTCCGATCCAACGAGACTCCAATCTTCTCATATGCTTCTTCAGCCCCTCACCTGAAGTGAGGCCTTTTTGACCCGTCGCTGAACATGCCGAATGAGAGCAGTAGCAATCATACTTTCCATGCTGGTTTGTGACCACAGTGATGTCGGCCCCCTCAAAGTTGAAAGAGATTCTGCCATCCATACTGCCAGCAGTGCATTTTTTCTGGTGACGGCTGTGCTCTTTTGTTGTGGGAAAAGTTTGGTTGCATCTGTTGCAAGTTTTGGACATTGCTAGATAGCACGATGAGTCCGCTGCCACCGTTCAGGATGACCGTTTGAGATTGTGTGAGCGACACACGACAAAAATGAGACTAAGTATTGAGGGACTTAACTTCAAGTTGAGTTACCATTCCGAAATAGATCGGCTCTCTATCATGATCTTCCAGAAACCATGTTACCGGTTACTATTCGACTGACGCTTAGTTAATAAGGATTGGACCCGCAAACTGTGTCAGAGAAAGGTACTAATCTTTTTTGTGTATGGTCGTCTTTATCGTCCTGATTATATGTCTTCATTAACGAGCTCACAGTCTTTGTGCACAGCATCCTCTGCCATTTTTTCCTACCCTACTGCCTGTATAAATGCCGCCATCTCTTTGCATCTGCCCATAACCTTTATATCAATCCCGCTTCCGCTCCTTCCTGAGACCTGAAGCCTAACTTAGTAGCATGATTAGAATTCCCTCATATGTCAAGGGAAAAAAACTGCTATATCATATACATAGTAGTAGTAACTAGGCCACATGCTGAACTATTTTGATTGCATCCTTCTTCTCGCTTCGCTTCTTCATAAGGTTAGTGTACATTTGCATGAAATGATTCGTCTGATGGAATTGCATCATTTATTTGGCGATGCTACACCATACATACCGAACATTGCATCCGAACCAAGGACTGGCCACTTTCATCGATTATTAGTCGGAGCTTACTCGGTTCTTTCGAGTTTCTCCAAACCCTGCACGGACAAAGTCCGACTCAAACCCTATGCACACTCCACGATTTGTGGAATAGTGTGGGACTCTACTAATTACTACCTGGTTACCACGTGCTGCAAGGGCCTGGGTAGTCCTCACGTTCTGCCAAAGCTCATAGGTGCTCTGACAACGCTGAGGCCATGCGGTTTGCATAGCCGACGGGGCAGCTCTGTGACACTCTTACAGCGACTCATCTCCGACATCTGCCACAGAAGAAAGATTTAATTTCCGTCCCACTATGGATTGATGAATCACTTACAAAATACATCTTCCATCCTATCCCTGCGTAAACCGGTTAAATCTTCATGAACTGGCGCCCATCTGCCAGCAATTCTTCCCCAATAGGCAGTTGCGCCTGTCCAAAATGGCGCCCTCTGCCGGATTGTCACCTAGCTTCTCCTCATCGTAAACATGGTTCAGAAAGATTGTGCGTAAGTTTTGGGGTGCGAAGGTATCTATCCAATTTCTCTCAGCTGTGCGGATGGTATAGTCTTGGGAGGGCATGAGGAGCTGGCCCCCGTAGTCAATCGATAGGTGGTGCAATAGCACGCATCGCTCCATGCCACGATGCCACTCAGGAAACAAGGCGTACGGTAATGTTCCCAGAGGGTCATCACCATGTTTTCCCAAATCCTGATAGTCAGGGATGTACCGTGTCCGTGTCAGCAAACCACAGGGACTTACTAACGGCACACCCCATGTTTTAATCTTAACACCCTGCTACTTGGCGAAATAAGGCGTGTTATTCTGTCCCAGGACCCATAATTGAGCAGTTGGAATTTGTCAACGCTGATTACCTCCGGCCTGATCATCTTCACCATGATGCTACACACCCAAGCCCAGTCAATCTCCTCCGCCATGTAGTCCTCATCTAGCTGTGTTGCAACAATTCCAGCATATCCCTGATAGCCTAGCTTTCGCTTCCCATTCCAAAAGCTCTCACCATCACGGCACAATTCTTCTAAGTGCTCCATGTTAAGCCTAAGACATGTCGGAGCACGTGGGAGACCAGAACAAAACCAGGAAGTAGTTCTCCGCATAGCACTTTGGGTCCTCCTGTCCAAGAGGGAGTATATGTCTCTGCAAATCTCCAAAGGGCACTCCCCTATTGAGCCACGGCGCATGGATGATGCCATCAACTCGTGGATAGTCTGAAAATCTGGCGTTCAAGTTACTTATAGACTGGAGAAGAGAGGTGTGTTGCAATTTGCAAATGACTTTAGAGTTAGGCTCGGGATCAGCCAGCCTAACCACGGATTCTCAGATCTGATCTGTGCGACACTTGTCACGCCTATCTCCTGCCTTCCCCCCGCAACTCATCCCAACTCTGGAAAACGAAGATCATCCTCGCTTGAGTGATCTTGCATACATTGCACAGGTGGACCATCGTCTTAGCCTTCGACTCTCTGCCAACGCATCCATACGCGTGGCGGGTGCCTGGCTGCAATCTTTGAATCCAAGCTCACTCTCCGATATATCTAGGAATGGCACCGGACCAACCACCATTATCAGATCGACACTTACTGCTCTGTACTCAACAAGCTCGCCAGCACAACATATAACTTGCCATACTTGACATCGTGCATGTCTCTTCACAACTTTCACGCCAGTGCTTGCTAGGGCTTATCGGTGATGGGATGGTCCTCGGTACATTGCATTTACTGTGACGACAGTTGTAGGATCGTTTGTTGGCTTGCTGGATAATTATGCTGATGGGGCTACCATCCTTCATGGGGAGTTATACAGACTTATTGTGTTTGCCCTGCTAGCTCGTTGTCGAGTTGAAGACGCCACAGTTCATAGTGATCACCTGAACGCTGTACGCGTGATCAGTTCTAACCTGGTGACTCCCCTTCCACCTCATTCATGGTTTGTATTGCCTGCACGCTCGCTATATTACTGGTTATACTCCATCTTGTCCTAACCTCGCGCTCCGACTCCATCGCACGCCAAGGCTCATACATATTCGTCCTCTTTCCCAACACAGGGCAATGCCATGCTGTAACGGGAAGGACTGCAAATGGAACCAAGGCCAGACCTCGATAGCGGGAGGCTACGGCTCTATCTATGCAGGACCGACTACCACACGCCGCAGGACTACCGACTACGAGCCAGGACTCCTGCTCCTGCGCCAGGACCCCTGCCACTCCCGACCTGATCTGTCCTGCCAGAGCATCCCGCTACAATGGTTGATGGTATTGCTTATCAATCTCATTCTCGTATCATTTGACCTCATCCTTTTCTATGTACTACTTTCATGCTGGACAGTTTTATAAATTACGCTCTATTCTCCCACATTGAAATTTGTCGAGTGCTTGATTCCTTGATTACTTCCTTACATACTTGCACGCGATATTGCAACAGATCTAACCTTCCAGCCCATGTTCTCCCACTGCCTCTCTACGACTTGCATGCCCCACCAGAACATGAACATCCATATGTGCGCACACCCTATGCGTACTCAGCTCTGGTTCAACTCCACGCAAGGTCACGCCAATTAAACACCGCCAGTGCGTGTTTCGCGCGTTTGTGAGATACATCGCCGTGGTGCCATTTCGGATGTAAGTGCTTGGAAACGCCACACCATTTATTTGTCGAGTGTCCTCGTTTCGCGCAAGCGCGCAACAGGTCATCGCAGGAAGCGTGTCATACAACTTTTTTTGCTTCTTCCTGAAGCAAAAAACCACCATTCAAACAACGGAAGTGTATCTGCATTCCGCACGGCGCTTGTTCGTCGATGATGCTTCGGTCAAGCCCACGCACGCATCACGATATTACCTTGGAACCATGACTGCGATCAACCCGCCAAATGAAATCTTATCTGTCTTGGGAAGGAAAATTGTGCACGTGTCGCATATGGCATGCATCCGTTTGGCAGGGCAAACTTGGGGACTTATAGGCGTATCACAAGGTCAACGGTGGAACGGGCACGGACTGCGTGGGAACTCAAGGCCAAACCTTTACAGTGGAAGGCTACGGCTCCATCCATCGAGGGTGTGGCTATTTAGACGCGGTCTTGTCGCGCCTGACGCGATGTGACGCGATGTGACTCGCTGAGGCGTTGATGAGCCTTGTCAGACGCGGTTACTGACGCGTCAATGCAAGCGTCCCTATACATCCGACTCGCAGATCAAGTTGCATGGGTTCACGACCATTCCCTTGTCATTTCATTCGTCATAGGGACATGTACAACTGGTACATTAGCCAATGCCTATTTTATTTTCCTCCCTCTCTGGACCCTGCGAGTCTGTGGAGCACATCGTCACCTAACGGGTGCGCATTCTTCAACCGGCAGAGAACTACAACTCGGAATTCCATTCCATGTGATGTTGGCTAGTGTCCAAACCCCACTGCTGGTTGCCTTCAGGTCCTGCTTATTGGAATCCTTGAAAATCCTTGCTTCTAGTGTGGTTAGACACTCAAGGTCGATCATCATATCAGCCACGAAGCTGTTGCTAGGATAGCTTATCGTGAGATCAGCCCAAGCCATCTTCAACCGCGTGCTATTGTTCCGTTCCTTGTTTCGAGCTTTGATGCGTCTTTGAAATCACTGGCGTTTAGATGAGCAACGGTGAGGGTGAAAGCGTGCACCAAAGGCATGCCACCAAGCCATATTTCGAAAGTTAAGCGAAAGCACCAGGAACATTCTCACAGAACCAACGTGCAATTTTGGCATACGTTATGAAAGATCTAAGATATACCTAAGTTAAATGGATATCCGAAGTGCTGCACAGGGTGCCCCGTGTTTGATGCACTCACGAAGCATAGGTGTGACACTTGAAGTGGTGAGGTTTGACGCGGCTGTGACGCGGCATGCACATGCATAAGGTAAAACGCGGCACAACTTGTTCGGCGCGGTGTGTGCTATGGTTGACGTGGCACAGGTAAGTGCGAATGTTGATATTAGTACAGAGACTACGAAGTTGTTTGGGAGAAATTGTCGTAAGTAGTATGAGTGGTTCTTGACCCAGCCTAAACGAGGCTCGACATGCCATGGTGGTAGAGAATATAGAGGGTGGATCGAACTTGGCAAGGCTTAATGCGGTAAGATAACACCATGACCTGACACTGCGGCATCTGAAAACCAAGTTGCGCATCGGATGAATGAATGAGAGGTAATACAACAATACAGGACTATGATTGTGGACGGACAAACTTATGCCGTCATAACTCGAATGATCTAGAACTAACTTATCAGGATATCTTTTCAAGGTCAGCGTCGATTACTGCATGATGGTCAACACCTCAAGGATTTCACGTCATGACCCAGAACATCATTCTTCCAAGTTGACGTCTGAGCGTCAGACGTGAAAGGTGAACTTGAAATTCCATTTTGATGTTACCATGTACCCTATTTACATAAAAGCGTATCCAAGAGGTACCCGCTCGGAAAAAAATGTACATGAGGCCACCCTTCCCGCCAGAATTCTCCAATCGTCGGGAGACCGAAGCGTACCTATTGAAAATGCTGCAGGGTTCACTGCAGACGTGCGACTTCCTCAGAAGCGTTGTGGATGAACAAGATTCCAGACATGTTGCCGTCACCAGAAGCCTGGAGGATGAGGTCCGCTTGCTAACACTAGAAAATAGAGAGCTGAAGCAGGGGGTTACCGCCAAATGCTTGGAACAAAAGATCTGCCTATTAGAGGTAGAGAATGATAAACTGCGAGGCAGCCTCGCCCACCGGGAGCTAGAGGATGGGAGGCTGAGGGGAAGAGGAGTCAGAGAAAACCATTCCATATAAGATTGATTAAACTCTCTGCTAGAGCAACCGTCCTTCTGCCCATCCTTGACTTTGACTTTACGCAAGGAGGGAAGCGCACCTCGTCGCTGGTGACTTCAAAGATATTAAAAGCTGATGACATCACGTGAAGCTGGTGACATCGAGAGAAATCGCAGCTGTAGGTCTAGTACACACCCTCCATTCATGTGTTATTTATTTAAGAAACTTCCAGGAAACTGTCATTGAAGCTCGTATTTTGTCGCCGGATTCAACCTGAAATTCATATGCACTGACAACACCTTAGATTCATTCACCATCTGTGACACGGCCCCTGCTCTCCGCCCTCCAAAAACCGACCATGTCCCAATCTTATGTACACTCGACTTCGAAGTCCCCAAAGCCACCACAGTTGTATTACACAACTACCGCAACATAGATTGGGAGAATTTCTCCACGAAACTCAAAATACGCCTAGGACGCATCCCTCCCCCCCAATCACTAGCAAGTAAAGACGAATTCAACATAGCAGCGCAAAACCTCGCAAAGGCCCTACACGACACCATAGAGGAAACCGTCCCAAAAACCAAACCCAACCCTCATGCCAAACGTTGGTAGACTAAGGAGATCTCACAGCTGATAGCGCAGAAACATGAGCTGAGTAACACATCCTATAAGTTCAGAGCTATGCCAGATCACCCGTCACACGAGGAACATCGCAAACTTCGAAACCGTGTATCAGAAACCATCTACAAAGCGAAGAAAGAACACTGGGAACAATTCCTCGAGGAGGCAACACAACGTGAAATATGGATAGCAAACAAGTATATCTCAACTCCAAGCTCTGATGGCGGCAAGACACACATTCCAGTCCTCCAAATCAAGAACGCAGACGGCACCACACACGAAGCAATCAGCAACGACGAGAAGAGCGAAATCCTAGCCAAGACCTTCTTCCCGCCTCCGCCACCCACAAGCTCAGTACCTGAAAACTTCGAATACCCGGACCCGGCTGCACCATTCACACAGATCACCATGGAGCACAGCAAACAAGCAATCAGTAACACCAGCCCGTACAAAGCACCAGGACCTGACGGAATATGTAACATTGTCTTCAAGCGCAGCTCAAACCAACTAACCCCGTACCTCTACCATATATTTAAGGCAGTATTCACACTGAAGACCTACTACGAACCATGGAGAGACTTCACGACAGTCGTACTACGAAAACCCGGGAAAGTCGACTACTCAGCACCCAAGGCATACCGACCCATTGCCCTTATCAATACGACATGTAAACTCCTGACCGCAATCGTAACTCAACAGGTAACGCACATACTTGAGACCCATCAACTACTACCAGCGAATCACTTCGGAGGACGCCCTGGGAGATCAACAACAGACTCAGTCCATCTACTAGAAGTAACTATCAAGGATGTCTGGAGAACGGGACGAGTAGCTTTAAGCCTTTCCCAACTTGAACGCCGTCACGGACCGCCTCATACATAACATGAAGAAAAGACGACTCCCAGACGAACTAGTCTCTTTCACCGAACGTAAGACCCACTGTCTATGATATGCTACCTCATCTACAACTCGGACCTAGTCGACATCGCCAGAGGAAAAATAGGCAACAGACAAGAAGAAATGGCCCTGGCCTTCGTGGACGACACCGCATATGTAGCTATCGCAGAGACCTTCGAAGAGACCCACGGAATCCTACAAGACATGCTTGAACGTAACGGAGGAGGCTTCCAATGGTCGAGAGACCACAATTCTAAATTTGAAACAAGTAAATTGGCCCTCATGGACTTTACCCGCAGCAGAACCAAGGAATGAAGACCCATTAACCTCAATGGCACAATAATTCAGCCCTCCAATCACACCAGATTTCTCGGTATCATCGTCGACCAAGAGCTTACCTGGAAAGAACACGCCGCACACGCCATCGCCAAAGGAACCGAATACGTACTCCAACTTCGCCGACTCTCAAGGACCTCAATGGAAATACCGACCAAACTCATGCGACAACTGTACCAAACTGTAGCCATTCCAAAGTTCACCTACGGAGCCGACATATGGTTCCGTCCAATCTTCAAACGAGGCTCAATCAACACACAACGCGGATCCAAAGGTATTGCCAAACGACTGACAACTGTTCAACGCATCGCAGCCATCAGCATCACCAGAGCAATGAGATCCACGCCGACAGGCTCACTTGAAGCACACGCGAACCTGCTCCCAATCCCCCTGCTCCTGCAGAAGATCTGTCATAGAGCCAAGCCATAATACGCCTAGCTACACTCCCTCAAACACACCCCATTTACAGCAAGCTCAAATGGATCACAAACCATAACGTTCAAGCCCACAGATCATCGCTACACAACCTTCTCTACTCGTTCCGAATCTTCCCCAAAGATACTGAGACCATAGACCCATCCCGACAGACTCAACTACCTGCCAGCACAGTCTACACGACTCACACAGCCAAAACGAAGGAGAACGCGATCAAGGAACACCGCAACCTAAAGGATGTAATTCAAATATTTACTGACGGCTCAGGACACGATGGAGGAATTGGAGCGGCAGCAGTCATGTTGCGAGAAGGACAAGAACCACGAGTACTACGATACCACCTAGGAACAGACGAGGAACACACCGTATACGAGGCGGAAACGTTAGGACTCACACTGGCAGCCCAGCTGATAGCGACCAACCCAACATCATCTACCCGATCTCCGAGTCAATCCTCCTCGACAACCAGGCTGCCATCAAATGCGGGACAACAACCAGCAAGGAAGGAAGCGGATACCTAGCCGGACGCCTTGACACGATGACAAGATATCTTGCAAAACAGCGACGAGATGACGGCGACTTCGACCTAACGCTACGATGGATACCAGGACATGAAGGGGTCCAAGGCAATTAACTCGCAGACCACGAAGCAAAAAAGGCCGCTGAAGGACGACATCAGAACAGCCTCAAACGAGAACTACCACGATATCTACGAACCGGACAACTACTCTGCAGCGTCGCGGCCCTGAAGGCAGCGCACAGGATCAAAGCACAAGCACACTGGAAGACCCTATGGGAAAAATCACCAAGGCACGCACGAATGCGAACGATAGACCCGTCAATGCCCTCCTCGAAGTTCATCAAACTCACCCATGGCCTATACAAGCGCATATCAAGCATATACTTATATCCAACTCCGCACCCGTCACATCCCGCTGAACCACCACCTGCACCGAATCAACAAGAGTGACACCCCGCACTGTCCCATATGTCCAGGAACCAACGAAACTATATATCACTATCTCTTCGATTGCCCGCAGTACAGACGAGAACGTCATATATTTGCAAACGCCGTTCGACGAGGTGCCACATCCATCGCACAAGTACTCCCATCCGAGAAAGTCACACCCCACCTAATCCGTTTCGTAAATAGCACCGGCCGCTTCAAACCAACATTTGGTGAGCTGCAAAACCTTGTATCAGAAAATATACTAGTAAAACACATAGATCCACCAAACGTCGCTCCGCACCATAACACCAACCGTAACACCCCTTGTCGAAAGGAAAGACACCACACACTCAGTGGAGTCGCTGCCGGAAAACAAAGAGACCAAATCAGTAACGTAGGTAGTATCAACGGAAGCAACAGCAGCTAAACACCAGACGAACGCCAACAGATCACATCACAGTTCGAGCGCTACACTCAAACTACTCTATACTGACACCATCTCTCTCCGCAGCTATCCTTTTGTACCTGCTCACTTCATGTGACGGAGTACGCGTCCGCCTCAAAACAAACCGAACACACCCCCATCATCCACAGCAGAAAGCTTATGACGAGACTATATCCAACATAGGGTCTATGACCCCAAAGGATCCCACTCTGAAGCAAAAAAAAAACACCCCACCTCATTGCCCGTATCGTAATGCTGCTCCAGTGTGGAAATACTCACCGTCGTGTCATCACATCGATATACTGCACCCAACAGCGAATGAGGCACGATTCGAAGAATTGTGGAGAATTGACGACGAAGAGAGCGCACAAACATCAAAAAAATTCAAGGTAAAGGCTCAGAAGCGAAAGCAAATGACATCGATGTTGATGCTGCGGATTTCCGAAGAGCACGGCTCGAGGGTGAGTTTCAGTATGAACAAGTCGTGTCTGGATTGAGTAGACTGATGAGCACCCCAACAGACGATGGACGGTGACGGACGACGGACCACTACACCGCTGAGTCTGTGCCTGACTCCGAATCAACACAGATATCTCTTGCATCTACCATATTGCTTAGTAAGCGTCTGCAAGGTTTGTCTGATGCGAGTGATAGTCAAGACGTACCTTCTGTATTAAAACCTCGTCTCACCATCAAGACTCGTCCCTCAGCAGCACGCCTTAGCTCGCTTTAAGTGAAGATTCTGCTGGTGTGGAGGGCCGGAATCCGGAGAAGTTGTCTAATACAGCTTTGATAGCTGCAATAAATGGGTACCTGCCTTGTTTCGATGTGCTTCTATCACCGCGGTTGATTGCGTTTTGGATATTAGTTTCATTTTGAATATGTTGGATTGCTTGATGCTCCTGAGGCAGATTGGTTCTGCAGTGACATGTGCAGTAGCCTCACCAGCTTTCAGAAGACAAAATTATGTTTTTTAATCTAAAAGTTGTATATGTTCGTCCGTACGATTGCCTGGGATGTTTGTCTCATCGCTCGTAGACCGCAAAACCTTAGTATACTCCTAGGGCGTGGGAAATTCCCACGGGAAAGGGGGGAGGGTCTGTAAGTACGGGGCTGCCTGACGGCCGTGGTGGACCGGAAAGGGTAGGCACTGCTGCTACACAGGTGGATGTACCCATGCACCACCCGAAGGGCAAGGTGAGCCCCTCAGCCCTCCGAGTGCATGCGGGGGAGGGGTTTAGTGTGGCGGATGGCGGTGGCGGCGTGAGGGGTGGGCTCCCTGCAGCACGTCCATGCCCGCCATCCAGAGCACCAGCGTTTACGCCAGTGCTGTGGAGGCGATGCATACACCTCCCCGGCAGCTGCTACGGATGCCTTTGACGTGACATGCAGGTATGTATACCTGCAGTAGCCTGAGCGCTGGCGCTCAGGTGGGTGGGATTTGGGCAGGAGGCGAGCATAGATCCTCGCCGTTGGGGCGGTGGTGATGAAATTTCCCAGCCAAGGGTGGACGCTTGACTGAGGAAATTAGGCAGCAGGCGAGCGCAAGCGCTCGCCATTGTAAGGTTATGGTAACAGCAATTTCCGCCCAAGCGTGGACGCTTGAGTGGGAAAGTTGGGCAGCAGGCGAGCGCAAGCGCTCGCCGTTGTGAGGCTATGGTAACGGCAATTTCCACCCAAGCGTGAATGCTTGGGTAGGAGAGTTGGGCAGCAGGCGAGCGCAAGCACTTGCCGTTGTGAGGCGATGGTGATGACAATTTCCGCCCAAGCGTGGACGCTTGGGTGGGAGACTTTGGCGGCAGGCAGGCGCAGACGCTTGCCGTTGTGGGGTGATGGCGGTGACAATTTCCGCCCAAGCGTGAACGCTTGGGTGGGAGACTTTGGCGGAAGGCAAGCGCAGGCGCTCGCTGTCTTGAGACGATGGCGATGGCGATTCACACCCAAGCGTGAACGCTTGGATGAGGAAATTTGGCAGCAGGCAAGCGCAGGCGCTCGCTGTTTTGAGACGATGGTGATGGCGATTCACACCCAAGCGTGAACGCTTGGGTGGGAGACTTTGGCGGAAGGCAAGCGCAGGCGCTCGCTGTCTTGAGACGATGGCGATGGCGATTCACACCCAAGCGTGAACGCTTGGATGAGGAAATTTGGCAGCAGGCAAGCGTTAACGCTGGTACTCGCAATCCCGTTCCAAAGCGTTGACGCTATGGTGCAGAGGGTAAGCACTCGCACCTACTGGGCAAGCATATGGATTTTTGGTCCTGGAAGACCATTGATGGCTAAAAAGGAGATGCAGCATGGGGCCTGGTTAGACCCGGTGCGTCATGGAAGACAAGGATGTACTAAGTGGCAAGGGAAGGTTTCGCACCGCCTTACATCAGCATTCCAAAGAAGGAAGAGGCGCAGGATGACTCATCACACTGCACTTATGGTTGAATACAACAGCCCGCCGGGCATCCCAGGACCCTCTCATCTCCATGTCACTCGAAATCCAAAAATCATAGTCTTTTTCATTGTGAGGTAGTTATCATCCTCCCTCTTCGCCTCTACGATGATACTAAGATATAAGAAATTGTCTCGTTCTTGTCACCTTCGACACATTCGTGTCCTCCGAGGCACCAAATCATGATTGGCATATTTCGGCATGTTATCGTTGTGACAACCTTTTGTCTTACTCCCTTAGGATGATGAGAAGGAAACCGATGCTTCACAAGCTCCCAAGCGTACAGCGCCAAACCATATTGACAATACCCTTGGTCTATCCTTTCCGTGTGCCAGCCCGCTCCTCATCCGCTACTTGTTCATCACAATCCTCTCTTTCCAATGCGCTGTGGTCCACATCTGTTAGATGCGATCGAGGTGGATCGGGGGAGTTGATTGCCAGTATATGAGATGTTTGCAAGTGGAGATGGCGCAGAACGCTTGTACTTGTGCCGAGAGCGGGAGCTCTGGGACGACAAACTTCCAACGCTTGGAGGATAATCGTGCGGCACCAGAGAAGACGTGGAGTGTGGTATCGATAATGGAGAGGCAGTTCCGCTGTATTTTCCCTTGGACTCTTCAGATGCAATCATCGTCTCTGCGTCATCTCCAGTTGTCATTTTTATGCAAGGGAGTCGAGGATTCTCTATATCGCAATGAGCATCATCCTCGTCTTCTGGCGCACGAAAGAGCGGTTCTGGATCATACACATCAGACATACGGGATGAATTGGTGAGAAATTTGACTGAGCTTGAAGAAGCTTTAACGATGGAATCAATGAGCCAGAATTGAAGGATGTTCATGATGATAGGGAAGAGACCCATGACGCTACGAAGACATGATAAGACCATTATAACCATGAAAAAAGCACAACACAATATAATTTGAAAGGCATCGCCGTTACCGATAGCGGTCCAACTGAGCAACCAATCCCCCACTTTCGATATCCCTGGCCACACTGTAAACAACCCTACAACAAGCATTTTCATCGTCGTCAACGCAACAACGTAGACTGCGGCCTGACGAGCTTGCTTTTGGCATTGCCAAAAACTTTGTCGACCATGTCCGCCACGCTGTGGGGTTGTGCGGAAGACCAGACCATGGTGTCCAGCCATTCTCGAGCCTCGGGTGCAAACAGATATGCACGAAATGCAGGCATGTAAGGACGAGGCTGCACTGCGCGAAGACGCGGTGCTGAGCTAGTGTGAACGCCACCATACGCATCCCGTGCGCGTGAATGTTGCGATCGGATGAGTAGAGTGCCATTCAAATCTAGCACGAGAAGCTTTCGAGAGGCACGAGGCTCGTCAACGATATGTGATGGCTCAAGCGAGAGCGTCATATACGTTGAATCTGGCTCCTCAGATGGTGGGGGAGGTGCTGGTGATGGTGATTTCATATATGCAGCAAGGGGATTCGAGTCGTGTGTTCTTCGACGAAACGAAGGCGAGGCCATATATGGCGTTGGCGAATCAGCATGTTGAGCACGCGAATGGTACTTTCTCTGCGGACTGTCGCTTCGTCTGTTCCGCTGTCTTCTGTAAGAACCTTCAGGACGATAATAGTCATTGCCATGTTCATGACTGTGAGTGTAGTTGGCGGAGGACTGGTCATGGTAGTAGTTTTGGGCATGATACCGGTCACCGTCGTGCCAGTAGTTATATCTCTGACTTGGTTGGTTGAGCATCTGCATAGTATCCACTCGAGCGGTAGTCGTATCCGTATGGCTGCCCGTGAGAGCTGCTATGGCTGGAACCACCGTATCTGTAGTGAGAATCATCTTGGTTTTCGTTATAATGCCGTCTTCCGCGCCACCCGCGATTGGGCGACATCAGAACGACTGAGAAAGGGGCCCGAAAGGACACCCACGAACGCAGGGGGACCAGCTTGACGATGCCAGCAGAGAACACCGGTTTATATGATAATCTGATCTTTGACTTGATGCTCCGAGTAAATCCATAAAAAATTGTGGTGCTGTGATCCCCATATAGAACATACTTGGGTTAGGGTTGACACATCTACCTTAATAATATGATATTACTTACAGTAAGCAAAAACTTTAGTGTGGAGCCTGGTAGAATTCGATAACGTACTACTAGGATACAGGCCATCTTTTATAGGCAGTACGAATATGAAAGGGGGAATAGAATGAAAAGAAACAAAGGGTAAATCAAGATTATGACGACGAGAGGAGTTTCGTGCTGCACCCTGCGTTCGGCACGTGTCAAGTGCAGTACAAAGTTGGCACAATTCACATCGTCATACTAATAATCACCACGTCGTCGGACTGTAACGTGCCCCGTAAGACCATGGCTGAAAGATCCAACGAACACAGCGAGTCACTCACCCGAAGGTAGAACCTTCTGGTACAGTCCAGAGCGCCGTATATTGTCCATCAGCCGTCTTCGAAAAAACAGTATTGCCCCACCACGTTTGGATGGTGTGCAGTCCGATTGAACCGTTGTCGGGATATTCGAGGCAGAAGAAAATCAAGATGATGGATACGGCCAAACCAGAATCCATGGCAGCCGAAAGGACATCTGGTAAAAGGTCTATTTCGGCGAAAGGTAACACAAGACCAGGGAGACCTCTTACAATTATACTTCGTCCACCAAGAGAAATGTTTACGCCGGATAACGTATTGGAAAATGAATCCAACGATTGCCCATGGGACGTAGTTCAGCGCACTGGCTGGGGGAATGGCCCCCATACCGCTGAAGATAACAGGGAAGCTGCACTCGTGTGGCCTCATGAGAAGTGTTTCTCGACAGAGAAGAGAATACACACTTGACATAACGGATAAAGTCATTTGACCACTTCAACGAGATCAACCATGCAACGGCCGGGCAAAACGCGCCGATGAGGAAATATACAAGGTCTTCATGCAGAAGCCTTAGATTGATACATACTCGACGTGCTCAAGAAGTACGCACCGTGATAGATCTGGCCTGACGGAAACTGTCTTTGTGGGCCGATGACCCCCCAGACAAAGCTGGCGGTTCCGAAGACTTCTATGTTGGGGCAGATGAAGCCATCCTTCTGAGTAGGGTTGCAAATGTCTGGAATGTTGGTAAACATCCATGCTTGCACACCGAGCTGTACAGTGCCTGCGATGGCAGTAGCTACGACTTGACCTGTACGGCATTCGGTGAGGTGCGCGACAGGAAGAAGATGAAAACCATTAACCCCATAACATGGTCCGTGGAGGAATCTTCATGTAGTGACCAAGCTTGAAGTCGGAAGAAAAGGTGAGCGCTAGAGATACTCCAGTTAGAGATATAGGTAAATCGACGAAGGGGGAAGGCTAACCTTGGTACATGGTGATGTATCCCCAGGTCTTGAACTGAGCAGACAAAGCTTCACTTCACTTCACTTCACTTCACTTCACAGCGTAGTGTCTCAAATATACCGTTCTTGCCATCATCATTGCAATAGGTCTGATGTGGTTTATTAGTTGGGTTGTCAAAGCCATGGCGACCTCGCGACTTACTTGCCAGGAAGAGCGTATCCAACGACTAGTTCAGTGATAACACTGGGTGTCAACTTCGTCAGAAGAGTGCATTTACCATTGATAATGTTCACGCACTTCAGTCCAACTTGCTGGTTGGTGATGGCCTGAACCATCCCGATGGGAATGACGTAAAAGAATGCTGTGGAAGCCCATCAGAATTTTAATCCTTACAATATTTGACACAAGTGAATCACCGATAGTCAAGGACAGGACAAAGGCCCAAACTGGGAACTCGGTGTGCCACAGCTCAATGGAAATAACACCAATCACAAACATGAGCACTGCATACCGATCAGTGGGGCGATCGGATATTTTGGGAGATGACACACAAAAAATGATCATGTACCACCGTTCTGGCACCTTTTTTTACTTGGACATGAGCCTGGCGTGAATATCAGGCTGCTCGTGCATCGAACGTCTGCTCTGGACCCATATTTGTTTCCTGAAGAACAGGAATGCATGCATGAGCGTTGCTGTGATGGAGGCGAATGACAGGGCATAGGATATAGCGAAAGTTGTCCTGGACCGGGATACATAAGGTGCGATGTAAGAAATAGATAGTAAAGATGGCGCACGAGAGGAACAGAGGGCTATATTCCTCATATGCTGTCAAGTTAAGAGAGGCATCTGAGATATGGGAGATATTGTATGAGGCGGCAGTATTGTCGTCCGATGTCCTCGAGGAAATTCTATAGTGGTAGATGGTGTTATCAAGGTGCACTGGGGACACAATGAAATAACTCATACGGCATGTACTTGCTTTCCCAGGCGTTGGTGTAGTACAGCGAAGGGACGACGAGCCCTGGATACCTTTTAGCAAAGAAAATGACGCTGGAGAAAGAATGCTTACAGAAGAAGAATACGAAGCTAACTGCGATATTTGCCTCGGCCCACCCTATGTAAAGAAATAATCAGGTCCGACTTGACTGCAAGTCTTTTCCGCGTACATGGTGTGGCTTTGTGGAAAGTAGTGGATCATAATTTGAGCCTTTCCTCGACAAAGAACGTTCGGTGACTCACCAAGCGGACTACCTGGGGTCAATAGTTAAAACACAATTCAAGACGACGTGTTGAAAACTTACCAATGTAAGCAATCTGAGACCAGTCGAATGTGACCATGCTCATTCCCAATCCGCTCACATACCCAGACGTCTGATTTACCACGATGTTTTCGGGCGCAATCCAGCATACCCATGAGAAGTAAGATATGCCCTGGAAGAGGTATCCAGGTACAAGGTACCATAGGAGACCACCAAACCATGCATAAAAGAAGAAGCGTTCACGTGAAATTCCTCCACGGGTACCTACTACCTATACCTGCATATGTCTGCGAATGGAGGGTGTTGAAAAGAGCACACGTCACGAGGTTGGCCGGCCATACTGTGCCAAGGTGTGAGTTACGGATTGAAGGTGGGAAGAAAACTGAATTCGTACTCATTGAGGAGGCTGAAGGAGGAATTGCCGCAAGACACCACCGATTGAAAAACCAATGAGCTGAGTGGACATAACCACCATCCATTGGTCTATCCCGCAAGTATGTTGTCCGAGAAGGGATCATGGACGACAGATAACCCCATTCGTGAAGATACACGTGAGAGAATGGCCAGCAAGAAGGTCCGAAATTCGTCCAGGAAGAATGGGATGTGATGTTTCGGGAAGGTACTAAGAAAACGAAATTTAAACCACAATGATAATATTAGGGAAGTCGCACATTCTGTGAAGGTTCACAATACTTGCTCAGGGACTCACAAATAAAACTGTAAGTTTGTCCATAATAGACTCGTTGGACCGCAATGATATCAGTCTGAAAGCGACACCGGCGTGTGAGTACTACTTATTGACAAGTTCACAGCTGAGGGGCGTACAGCATAGGCAGCTGAACATTCTTAGTTGATCGTAAAGCGGAAGTAACACGACCGAAGTACGCACAATATCCACCAACGGAGGCCATGATAGTAACCAAGACATGTTCTTTAATTGAAAATGGTCCAGGGTTCAACTTAATACCAAAGAAGCATATGTTGTCATTCATGACCGAAAGGCTCAAAATATCTGAGCTAAAAACTGATGGGGAAGGTGACAAACCGGCCGCTGGAAAACATACAAAAGCCAAGAAACGGAAGAGGGTTGCAGAATATGATGACGACAGTGAAGCGGAAGAGAAGCCTCGCAAAGTAACTGCCACATCGAAGGTTTCAAGTGAGCCATTTTGTTAAACTTTGGTTGATAAATCTTTGATTCACTACTTGCATGTATAGCTTCAAAATCAAAGTCTTCAGGATCTGCTTCCCAACAGAAGACTGAATCAAAATCAAAACCTGCGCCAACGAAAGTGTCGCCTACTCCTGTAGTGTCTCAGTCAAAGCAGAAAAAAGCTTCCCCAGATTCTCGAGCGCCTGTTGAAAAAGTGTCACAAGCTCCGGTGCAGGCAACAGCGTCACCTCCAACACCCGCTCCTCCCGCGACATCTACCAGGCCATCGCCACCTTTTGGACAAGTACACTCCCTGCAATCGAACACAGCAATTTTGGCCCATCCTGCCAGATCTTCCCCTGTGCCCATCAGGACAGATGCTCAGGTTTCTCCCGTGGTAAAGTCAGAGCCACGTATTGCTTCGCTATACCCTTCTCCTGCGATTACATCCAATATACCAACGGCTGATAGACTTGGTCCTATTCGAGCCGCAAAGAGGCTATTCGAACAAATACTGGTTCTCAGGTCCAGTCTCCTGTTACTCCTCATACAGAGCATAACGCTGTGGGTTCCGTGTCGAATCTTGACGTGAATGGCTCAGCAGCTATGCGTGATCCTCGCCGTGCTGCGCCATCTCCAGCGGCTGTCGCTGTTCTGCCACAACAAGGCCTGCACCCGCTATATAGCCTGGGGCAACAATTTCAAATCAACCCTTCGGATGTTGAAGCCCTTTTGCGCGCGCGCATGGACTTGTGGTACCTCATAATCAACAAATGCCAATGAATTCCCCTGTTGCATTGTCTGAACATGTTATGACAGCTATGGGCCTGAATGTTTTGAGCGGGGTTAGTACATCAGCCCCTGGTTCTTCGAATTTCTCGCAGGGCGTATCAGTCAATGGTTCTGGACAGGGCATGTAACCTGTTCTGTCCTTCCAGCATTCTCAGTGAGGCCCTCAAGCTCCGCTGTACTTGCCTAGCCCATCACGGAATGGGTTATCAAACAGGACTCACCCTGCTTCGCATCATTCTCTCCCACCTCGGCCGTCATCGACTGCACCATCGACTGGATCGTTCAAAAATGAGCGACGATGTGGTGAATATGAACGACGGGACTACTCGAGAGGCGGTGGGCCTTACGAGAAAGACTATCGACGGAATGATTCCCGGCGGGATTCGAGTGGGTGGGACAGTCATAGAGGAAGAGATGGCAGCTGGGGTCAAAGGGGGAGAGGTAGCGGAAGCCATAGGTAGCAAATGGCTCAATAGCAATGACCATGGTTCAAGGTAAGACATGAGTCTGAGTGTGTTAATCCATCCCTGTACTTATGTGATGTTCTAGGCGTCAACAAGGGCGCTAGGTGGTCATGAGTCTGGGTCTTTCTGCGGCCCTGCCAGGGCACCATGCGTTGTGATTGTGTTTCATATTGTTTCATATTTTGCTTTTATCATCATTTTTTTTTTTTTTTTGAATCCTTGGTTATTGTCCTTTGGGGCGAAGCCCTATGATGGACACTACATGCGCTATAGTACTGTTGCGGTGTTCTACTGGAGTTTGTGTGGTATGTACTCTAAGCAATGGTTCCGGCTTGCGCGGGAACGGTGGAGGCCTTCTTCAGGCGCTCGGGTTGATGGTTTTATCATCATGACAGCATATTTCTCACACTTCACTGCAACGCGACTAGCCTCGTTCATTCATTATACCTATCGCAGCCGTTTTATAATAAACACCATACGTACCACCACGGGTTTCCCCTAGCTTGGATATAAAGCCGATTTGCACCATATTGTATGAACTATATTGTGGGTGTTCCAGTTGAAACAATATGCTTCAGTACAAAAACCAGTGTCGATAAACGGGCAATAGATGGTCTAAACGAAACCTTAACTAGGTGATGACGATCATTAACCAGTGCAAGACTGGCAGTATAACTCCTATCATCAAGACATGAGGCCGAGCTTCACGGGCGCTATTTGTACCATGCGCCCCGTCTGCTACCCAGTCACGCCATGCAGCCTGCAGCTCAAGGATGAACGCTTGTGCCTCTGGGCTGTCGGAGCCTTGCACGCCATAAGAGTATGGATTCACTACAGGTGTAAGCCATCCTTCCGGCGTAAAGTGGAGCAGGCCAGATACGGTTGTGCCCGTTCCGGCAAGTGCGGTGGATGATGTACTTGTGTTTGACTCGAAGGTATTCTAGACAACGATCAGTGTACTTGGAGTCGTCATTCGGTAAAAGGGTTATAACTAGAGCACTGTACCACCATTTTTAGTATGCGCTTTAAGATTGCCTCAAGTTCATAGTGCAGACACACTAGTATGAGACTCCAAACCTACTCAGAGACTTCATGACGTCGGTTAGTCTCTCCTAGTAGAACCTTGAGAAGGAAGACGGTCGTTCTTCATGCAGTATGTACGTGATGTGAATTGCAACAATGTTGGCCTAGATGGAAGTACAAGGCTCCGTCACTAACCTTCGACACGCAGTATGCGTTGTGAGTCGTAACACTGCTGTCCTAGATGGAAGTACACGGCTCCGTCGACTGAGAGATAGTAGACCAATCACTGGGGTTCGACCTGAACTAAGCTCGTTCCTTGGAACTGCCAGTGACCATGGTTGAGCTAAAAGTTGAAAGCGTCCGGCCCGCGCAAAACAGTTGTCCCACGCTGCTCTCAGCCATCCACTTCCCAAAGTACTTAATTGTATACCTGGCAAGATTCTTTCAAGGCGCATATGAAAAAACCCAACGATGAGTTACCCACCAACGCCAACCTACACATCAAAAGACGTCCGTTATCGATTAACGGACAGAGCTTGCTATTTTGTTTTGGTGCACCCTTGCGCCATCAAGCTTCCAAGGTTGAAAGCACAACTTCTTTAAAACGAAGCTGAGCGAGGCCGGTTCGCCATGCCGATTCTGAACAATGATAGTAAAGGCGATTAGAGAGAATGTGGAGACCCCGACAGGCTTGACGATCGTTCAAACTAAGAGCGCCAAGCTCTGGACCCAAGTCATGCGGTCTGCAGACATCCCTGCGGACCGCCCAACTTCATGACATATTTCCTTGATAGTACGTATCGAGTTTTCATCACCAAACCTGTCAGCGAGGACTAAGGATATCCACGTCGCTGCCTGGGCATCTTTGTCATCTGTACGACAGTTCTAGTTCTTCCTCGACTAGGTATCAGGACCTTCCATCAAACCCGTACCCGATGACCTTCTGCACTCATTGCAATAAAACCTAAATTTGATAATGTTGGCATTTTCATGACGTCTAACGCGCCTATATTCAAGCTTTTGTATGCGCTATGCATGACTAGCGCGCGGCCGTTTGTACAGTAGCCTCACAGCCAGGCTGCCAGATACAACCCAGGAACGGGTCCACTGCCCTTGCGGAGTTCATCCTACAAGCTTACGCAAGACTACGTCATCAACAGTACAAACAGCTGCAGGGCCCAATAGCAACAAGTTGTACACACATGCGATCGCATTCTTCATCAGCGCCCTCCTCGTCTAGAACCCGGAAGTAGACTCAATGTGAACACACAGGTATTCCCGCGACCCTGAGTACATGAGTGGGATGCATGTATGGATATCGCCAAGAAGAGACAACCGATAGGTAACACAGTCGATGAGGCATCATAGAACGTGGTGTTATTATCAGCGTAATTGTAGAACAATCCGTTGGAGTTCTGGTCTGGTGATGAGACATATTCTGACAGACCGTTTTTAAATTGGACGCACAATGTGGGAATACATCGCTCCGTGAATCTCATGCACCCAATGTGCAAGGTCGTTCTGTTGACTCTTAAATGAACTCGCGTACGGGGAACGTTAAATAGTCCCCAGGACCCGTATCATGCCTGCCGTCGCCCATGCATTACCTGTAATTGAGCCGTGCAATGAATAAACGCTACGCTCAAGAGAAGTCGCGCACCTGTCGACCAGTGCCCATCGTCAACTCCTGTCTAACCAAGTTGTATATGCTTCCATAAATTACTGGCTGCCGTGTCTCGAAGATACTTTCGGTACAAGCGGATCTGTGTGTATGCCTCACCCAGAATGGTCTGATTTTGCGTCAGGACACCATAATACGCCAAAAACGGAGGAACCATGTACACACAATCACTCCTATGTGAAGACGTTAGTTATTCACGGGAGCGTCTTATACATGACTTTTGTCTTCACCAAAGTTGCAATTGGTCCACTCTGCGAGAAAAAGCACCATCTTTGGTCTTGGATACGTTTTGGAATAGGTAGTGGAGTTGGTCCTGTGCCGCCCCTGCATAGTCTAGTCCATCTAGCGCCCCCTGTCCCGTCCAGTTAGCAAGTAACACGGAAACTCCAATACTTGCTGGATCTCCTGCACTCGTATCAGCAATCAGGGGCTGGGGGCCAGTGATATTGGACAAGCTTCGGGCGACGACGATATTATGCGCGATCGTGAACACTTCGCCAAGCGCACTTGTTATATTGGATGGGATACTGTGGGGAGGCAGAACGACGTTGAAAGACACGACAGAGTATGTCGGCGCATTCAGCTCCAGGAGGGCCTCGGCGCGTGCTCCATACTCCCATCTACAGAAATAAATGAGGCCACCAGTGAGATTCATAATCCTTGAAGCCATCGAGTAGAACAGAGAGGTGGGGCTACTGATGCAGAATGTTGAGTGATAGTATATGCTCACCTATGCACTGCACCCTGGGCCAGTCGCTCGCTGATCACGGATATCTGCGCACTTGCAAGGTTCTGTAAGAGGCCTGCCACAAAAAATAACACCATGTGGAGTTGAGTGACAGCAAGTGTTCACCCGAGGGATCCGTGATGCAACGTTAAACCACTGGACTGGCTTTAAATAACATCAAGTTCAGGTCCAGTCCTAGTACCGTCAGCGTCGGAGTTCGGACAAATGACTGGTCTGATTCCATGGTAGGCAACGTTGATAAAAACGCGTTAATTGTCAGTGTCAGCGATCAAGCAAGGAAAGGAACGATACAGTAAGTGATTGACACGAACCGCTGTGCATGCTTTCTCCAAGTTATTAACGTTCATGCATGCATTGGTCTGGCGAATGACACCCGAAATTGAAGTAGATTGGCGGTTAAAGATAGTCTGACTACGTCATTTGACGATCCCAAAAAGCGCGGAGTTTGAAACTTTGCAGGTGCCGTTTGGGCCGGGTGTCGCTCTCATATCCTTACTTGCCCTTGCTCGTCGGCTTCTAACACATCCAGCAACTGCCACGCGAGAGCATTACTTCGTCCCTCTAAAAGCCCATGCCAGGCTTTTCTGAGATGGTGTGCAGCAGGAGGTCCATGACCGTCATCCGCATGCCACAGAATATTTTTAGTCAGGGTCCTCCTTGCTGAGGATCCACTGTTCATGCTGAAGATTTAGGCGGTGGGGCATACGTGGAGGTAGAGGAGGATATTATAATATGGAATCATCCTATTTCAAATTTAGCAAGCACGATACTCTATTATAAGCCAGGCTAGTCCCGAGTCTATGCTAAAGAGGGTGTCAGAACAGTTCGCTTCCTACTACGATACTAGTACGAGCTCAATGTTCGTTCGCATGGGACAGATCATCGATCATCCAAGTTAAATACGTGAGAGGTTTGTAAGAGGTACAGTACTATACCGTATGAAATACCGCTCGCACAATCGCGAAGGTTCAAAACATCTTTGATGAGGAGATGTGGCAAGTGCAGCTTCTACTCGAACTAAATAGCATCGCCTACCCGGTTACTCCATGATCCCCAAACTGTCGAGCGCCTGACGCCCTCTCCGAACCCAGTAAGACAATGTCTGCTCATTATTGAACCGCATTCCCACACTTTCGACACTAGCACTTGGTGCAGCAGGAGGAACATCCTCAACCAGAATATCAGCCATGGTAGACTCATCATTTCCGGTCGGAATAACTTCCTTGTCGGCAATGAGAACAGGTTGTCCGGCAGACAATGCTGCTTGTTCCGCGCGTTTTCGCTGTTTTGCCGCAAGTTTTTGTGCTGCCCGAAGCTCTTTCTTCGTGAGGGGTTGCACTTCCTGAGAGTCTGTGGGCAGTTGCAGATCCTCGACCATGTTTGCGTCCGAGGCTGGTGGAATGACAATAGATTTTCCTTCAGCCTCAGGAACTGGAACAATATCCCAAAGACCCCCGGCTCGAATCCACCCAGCAACACTGCTCTGCTTCTTGATCTCGTCCAGGACACCAATGACCGCAAGAATGGTGGGGTCATAGGGCTCAGCACCCACCGGACAATAAACAAGGGAAAAAAATAGGGCTCAGCAGGTGGTTGAGATGATGTGTGCTCTTTCTGCAGGCGGAACTTCTCGACATTGAAGGTCTTTTGCCCTAAATGAGGAGGTATACTCGGGCATACAGACGTGATTGTATGGCTGAAGACGGGCCTTGTGAGGGGAGTCGTCGAGGAGGAGGGTGGTCAAGGCAGAGTGTGCAATCGAGGAAGCCAACCCAGCTTGTTCAGCGGCATAACGTGCTTCTAATGGTACCGCGATTTCTGCTGTGCTGGCACCTAATGGAAGCAATGCCCAGGGCTTCGTAAGATCCTTGGTCGTCAGGGCTTTTCGGTCTGCCAATAATATCAGCAAAGCGTAACATCGCAAATCATTCAACGATTGATAGTTAAACACTCACGATGGTCCTCCTTACTAAGTCCCAGACTCTCACGGTCCCAGACTGCGACGCGCCCAATACCACATTGACGGTGGGGAACCATATTGTCCCGACTCGTAGCCTTTGAGGCGGAATTTCTTTAACAAGAGGTATGTGAGACCATGGTGCACGACGTATATTATAGCAATACCTATGAAAAAGGTGAGCATTGAAGTAAGTGTGAGATCCATTGATATTCACCGAGAGTGGAACTTAGAACGTTGACGCCGTGTACAAAGCATCCGTCCAACAATTTGCTTGGATACATCAAAGAGATTGTGATTTTACAAACATAACCGCCTTTTTTCTTACTTCCTTGCGCTGATGGCGCACTGCATGTTGGACTGCGGTGCGCCATGCAAAGTGATCGTGTGCAAAAGGAATGGGCAACACGAGATGGGAGGTATCGCGCCTGGCAACACGCAAATGCCAAAAATACAATTAGATATGGTGCATGAAGTTGAAAGGGTGAATGATGATATCGCTGACGTACTACTCATCTAGTGGATTACTTTATCCCTAGGTTACTAGTAGTACCAACCGATGTGAGGAACTTACAACGATTCAGAAAAGATCCGCGTACGTTCGAAGATTGAAACCATTCTCGGTGCGAGCCTCTACTGGGATCGATGCATCCACGTCGCACGACTCAGTCAACGCCAGTATCAACTTCAAGTTGAATGAGTTGAATGGTGGTCCCATCGTATTTTTATCGTAACGCCGCGTACGCGCCAATTCTCGATGACGCCCGACACCGTTTTGGTTCGACCTAAGCTTTGGTTCGACTGAGACACTGTCAGATCTGACATGAGTTAGCGAGCGTTGTTTTAAATTCGAGGCTGTTCAACGTGTTTGCTAGGGCGAGCCTGCCCGCTCTCGAAATCTCATATTCTCCGAACAATAACAGCGGTCATGAAAGCTTGCCCATAAACGTTTTCAAAGAAAGCAGAGAGCAGCGGTAGAAAATGACGATCACATTCAACCGGATGGTTCACTGATGCAAATTCACCCAATACTTCGGGCATAGACTTCGTGATGGAAGTCGCACGCAGTTCGAGGAAATGGTGGGAAATAGCGGCGACGAAGTTGGGATTGGTGCGACGGACGACACGCGAACCTGGAACATGTGAGATACTCTCGGATAAAGCAGAGGAAATACTCTACAGCGCCCAAGTGAAATTTGATCGTCTCTTTAGAAGAAAAAAGTCAGGGGGGATACCGTACCAACGGGCGAGCCAAATAAAGAGCTTGGTGAGAACTATGGGAGAGTTGACGCATGATGGAACAGTGGTGATAACCTGCGCTCTCGAAAACACCAAGCGACAGCGAGAGAGATACATCAGAGGACGTGGCAACAATGCGGACACCGTCGAACGATACGCATCCTGTGAACGGGTTTCTACACACCAAGCAGGAGTGGTGATGGGAAATGAGAGACTTCAGCAAGCAGGCACAGAAGGTCTGAGCAGTAGCAAAAATCGTGTGATGATATTGGGGACAATAAAGTGCATCGTAATATTCAGAGTAATCACAAATATCGTGAACAGTGGCAGGGGGACAAATGTCCTCGTCCACCACACGAGAGACGCGCGAAGGCGCCTTGTTCAAGAATGTCCTAGAGAACAGAAAGTGAATGGGTGATCAGCAGGAAGGTGAATGACTTACATCATCATGGGGGTATAGAGCGCCGAGGGAGAGAGCTTTTAAAGCCAAGGGCGAAGGTTTCAGATGACAGTAAGATATGACCACGCCGGTGAAGATGACACAGACAGATGACATGAACGCAAGCTGACATAATGTTTGCCACAGGATTTTTTGTAGAGAAAAAGATATTTCTTGCAAACACTTGTCGTCGGGAATTGGAGATCTATGTATATCAATTCGTCAGAACAAACGCACGTACTATATTTGACGGTTTTGGGACGACAGAACTATACTACAATGAATGATCTATGTAACTTAATCCGTCCATTCCATGATTCAGAGTAGCTGACGCAGGTAGCGAAACACGAAAGACAATATGTAGTGTAACGACCACTATAAAGGTAAAGTATAATATGCTGAGCTCAACCCACGCCATGGTACCTGTGAATTTATAAATCATCCATATCCGATACAGTTTCCTCGGCATTTATCTGCTCGGATGTTCCTTTCCTCAATCCCCGCTGAACAAGGAGATTACGGTTGAAGCGATTGGAGGTAAGTGCCAGGAGCACCTCAAAACATTCTACAATGAGAATCCAAAAAGACCGATTTGTGTCCGATTCAGAAGTTTCGAGGTCCGTGGGTAGACGACTGAAAGGATTCACCAGAAAGGCTGACTTCTTCTCGCCACACGCAATAGCGTCTAAAGTCGCCCACTGGTCGAGAGGGCGCAATCCCTGCGATAGAAGGACTCCCTGCCTATAACGCAAGAAAATCCAGGCGAAAACCCACATAAACGACTCTAGATCGTGGCGATATAGGTGTTTCACTTTGCCTTCTTGACCCTCTTTGGTGAGAAGGTCGAGCGCCATGAACGGTACCGTGACCGTACGCTCATTTCCCTGAGGACCCAATGCATTCGCCAACGAGGATAGATCGTAGTCGTTTAAGACACCGATCAGTCTACCGTCTTTCCTGTACCACATCAAGTTTCCAGGGCTGATATCTCGATGATAAACACCTTCCTTCCACAAAGTGAGGTGGCCTGTAGGCTATGTCAACGAAGAGCCACATAAGCTGAATCAAACACGTACATAGGATACACTGACGTCAGACGTCGAAAAGATCCTTGCCGTAGAGCTTCGTGATGGGGTGGAGCTTGCGGAACACAAGAATGTAGAGCACGCGACCTCCCGTAGTGGGTTCAGGAACACCAAGCGCTTCTCGAATGGCGGACGTGGGATTCGTGAACTTGTGGTGCCAGAGCAGCTGGGGAATATGCTCTTCGACGGTCGGGTGCCTCTTAGCGATCTCCTCAACCTTTTTCAGGATCTCCGGCTCGCTGATGCGACTCGCCTCTCCCCAAAATATCTTGGCCACCATTCCATCCTCGAAGTTACCATATTTCTTAGTGAGCGCTTCGCTAGTGACGGGGACCACGTTGGTCGCCCGTCCTTGTAGTCCGTAGTGCGTCACTCTTTCGTCGTGGCTGGTGTTGAAGCAACAGATCCACCGTTCCAAGATCTTCGTCCTTGATTTTGAATTCGTGGCATTGCTTCCCGTCAACTTCAACTGGGAGGAAGTCCTTGTTTCGGCCCCAATCGTGAACCTTGAAGCGTTGTAACGCATATAACAGCGCCATGAATCGTGGGAGATCTTGGATGAAGCTGATGCCCCGTTTCGGAAGACTGTGCAGCAGTGAGGCTGAAAGATTGATCTGCTGCTCGGTTCATCTTGGATACAAAAATCAAATCACTTGCGGGTGGTATCGGACGCAGGTTGTGCTGCTGGGGTCTGCGAAGGGCCTGGCGTAGGCACTTCAGCCTTGAGATGATCCACCGGCAGATGTTCTGGTTTAGTATGGATATAGCCTGTCACCGTAGGCGGCGACTTAATCTCTTTCGTCCTCTTTCTCTTGAACTCGAAGCAAGCCAAAACATCTTTCCAGAGAAGATTTTTTGGCTTTGGCTTTGCGTTCTTGACCATGTGATCCTTGCGCTTCTGACCGTCCTTTATATCGTCCTTCTGGTCATCCTTCTGGGCGGCCTTCCGTTTGTCTTTGTGTTTGCCCGTCTTGCTGCCGTTATCATCCTGGAAGCATGCGCATGCGCTCTTCAAAGGAAGGATGACAATGTCGGGCTTCTGGATTGATCTCGCCATCTGGTGGTTTGATATATGGGCATGTCGTTCTGCTGGAAGATCATGTCCACGGTGGAGACAGGAGCGCGCATCCCGTCAATCTTGATCTCTTCAAGACAAGCGAGCGCAATGTTCGTTGCGTCAATAAAAGGGCCGTAGAAGTCGTTTTCTACTCCTGGACGTACGCTTGCAATCGTTGTAAGCGTAGAAAGGTGTATTAATCGAAAGAGCGCTTACTATTTTTCAAGGCTGTCTCGATGCCCGAAGAGAATATGCCTCGACTTGTCCATTGCAAACCGGAAGAAATCCCTTCAGGCGCTTTTGCAGGAGCTCGGGCTGTTTCGTCTCCGGCGCGCAAGACGCGCGCTGTAGGAAGGCTTGCAGCATGGCATCTGCCTTGCACTGCTTTGCCTGCTCGATGTCCCGCTGAATCCATAGCCGGACCTCCTTAACCCTTCATGGAACGTCACGTGCTACTCCATAAGAACAAGAAAGGTACGTACTGGACTCCGACCAAGCTGATGTTCTCGCTGACGACCAAAGCCCCACGGCTGTTTGGGTTGGACTCTAGTTTACTACCACCTTGATTTGATGCATTGGCGCGTTGCGGAGTAGACAATGTGCCTGTCTCGCCAGCAGGGGACATGACGCTAAGTGTTCAATGATTGCGCTGACCGAGTATTGTGAGCAGAGCTAGTGAGGGAGAGAAAACTAAGAGGATAAGGCTTCCTGCTTGCCTTATATACGGTCGACGAATGTGGCGCAAATGTGGTGGACCATCGATCATTGATGATTGATTTGATGTGGATTGATGTGGTGGTTGTGGACCTACAATTTAATTCGTGACTCCGACGACGCGTTCCCATCAACACACGCACGTGACCTTGACTTATTTCTCGAATCACCAAGACTACCGACTACGAGCCAGGACTCCTGCCACTGCGCCAGGACCCCTGCCACTCCCGTCCTGTCCTGCCAGAGCGCCCCGCTCCAAAGGTTAGCTGCCTTTTGTATATCTTCCTTCCTTTCTTTCTTCTCATCCTCGTCATCAGTATCAAGCTCTGACATTTGATCTGACATATACTCTGGCTGCAAGAGTTCGGATGGATTGATGTGGTCCTGTGTGATATATTCCTCTACAGCCTTCTCGCGATCCTCAGCAAGCTAAGTTTCATTTCGGATATTGAGATCCTTGAACTGACACATCGTTCTTTCCAGACTATGTTCGCAGCATGGGAGAAGATTGCTGAGTTCGCCTCATGGGATGCACCTGCCTGGAAGTCGAATATCATCTTTGGTGGATCGGACATCGCGTCGTCACCTCCATCACTACCAATCTCACTTGCAATGAAGTCCAGTGAGATCGTAAATTTTCTTGTGCAAACACTCCTAATGCATATCGGTGACGGTGGATTAAATAAAAGAGACAACCACTGCTCATATCTGTAGCTCCGAACGAGCAGTCGGTTGTGCTGCAGTAAGCCTCGCCTTTGCGACATTCAGAATATATGCGGGCTCCTCAAGGGCTCCTTGGATGTCTTGTTTTTTTCCGCGCTTCCATCGAGGACAGGGCTGGTTTTCTTGTTCAGCATCAACATCTCCGTCAGTCGCAAGGCCCTCATTGATATTCTGATGCTTGCTTGCTGACACGTCCTTTTCGATCCCTTCCATCCTTCGAGCAAGGTATTGCATCGACGACAAAAGTTCCAGGTTTTTCTGGATCACTGGCACTGGAGGCACTGGCAGAGGAGGTGGGGGAGGAAGCAGAATCCCCTGCATCTGGCTGAAAACGGCTACCAGCGCCTTGGGAGTGAGCAACGATAGATGGTGCTGTACCATGGTCAGTCCCACCGGTTGATTCATATCTGATGGTCCCGATGATAGCATTTGTTGATTGAAGTTGTCCGCTGGAGGGGGAGCCTGACGCTGAGCGACCACCGGACGACACATGGTGATAGCGGTAGCTTGGGCAAGGGCACAAGGGACGGTAGGCACGAGGCTTCGGAATAGGCTGGACCGTCTGTTTTTGATTAAAGAAGCTACAATTTATTAACGTTTTCATGAAACATTCCTCTGCCTCATCTGGTATTAATATTGCATGCGGCCATGGATGAAAGGAAGCTCTACTACGCTCCTCCGAGGTCCAAACCAGGAAGACCGAGTTCATCCTACTGTATATTGTGTGCGCAGAGCGTGGGTAACGAAGGCTCTGCAGACTCACTACAGATATTCTCGGCCATGATAGCAAAGTGCCCACCATCACTGCGGTTACGTTCCTGGAAAACTTCCGCCCTGTGATAGCAGGTGACAACTTGCAGGTGTTCACTGTTTTGGGGCTGTCTAGGCTACGAGCTGGACTATACGGCATTTCCACACACCCCCAACTCACCCTCAACCTCCAACCCCCCAACACCCATCATCCCCCTTCGCCAATAAAACCACCACCATGTCCACACCAACCCTGTATCACCCTTTGGAGCCTCGGAAACGCCCGTTTTGCCATTCCTGACAGGTACCGTCCTGGAACCACCATTACTCTCCTCTCACCTGGATCAAATTTTCCCTGCCTTCAGCACGACGCTGACCTGCGGGGAGGCATTGACCCCATCACCATCCACTTTGACATTGGCTATGACTCACCCTTTGTACCCCCTCATATCGGACAACATGCTAATAATGCGGACTGCGAGGGAAGCAGCTCGCGCAAAGGTTAAAGCACGTATTTCCAAGAAGTACAGGTAGCAGGATGATCTCTGGAGGGGCTATGTGACAAATAAACTGGTGACATAATGACTGGTGACTAATGGACTGGTCCGGACCAATCACCGACAGCCTACAGTCTGAAACTGCCACGTGTGAGACAAAGTATCATGCAAAAAAGCACCGAGTATCGACTGAATTGTGCATGTACTTTTCTTTTTAACTCTAGTTAAAGCACCTTCCGCTCGAGATATGGCTTGCTTGACCGACTGTTGGGAAAGACGGCAAAATTTTCAATGACGTGGATCTTTCGCTTGAATTGATGTAAATACAGGTGCGCAATCAGCTCTTGTTCATCCCGTCAATGTTTATTCTTCCAGGCCATAGTAATACGACGTATATGAGGAATTTCCTCTGAGTGTTCTGATACTTTCTGGTCACAAAACTAGACATTTCCTCAACCGCAGACATAGGAGCATTTGTATGCGATTAAAAGCTGGAATGGTTTATTATCTTGTAGAACAGGGTCTACTTAATTATGTGAGGAAGCTGATTTGAACATCAAAATTTATCTCTACATTGAGCGTGGGTTCTCGGGGCTGTAGGAACAAAGTAGAAACCTATGATTATGACAGCATGGTGGTGGCTAAATCACATGCCTTGTACAAGTTTAATGTATAGACACAGTGAGCTTATCCGCCGCCTTCCCTCGCGACCACCCTGGCCTGTTCCTGGCCTTCGTATGCTTCATCATCGCCTCCTGGTCATCAGGATCGACCGAGGCAAGGTGAGCCTCTACACCAACCCTATCGTAATGCGAAAATTCCCCACAAGGGCAAACAAACTTGAAGTCCGGTTCACGGTATATTCGAATCCCGCGCCCTACCGGCGCTTCAGTAGCAGTGAAGCTGAAGATGTGCCAATAGTCATCACCAGAACTGCTTTCCAGTGACTTTGCGTTCATGAAATGAGCGCGTCGCTCAGAATCGGATCCAAAAATGTCGACATCACACTTTGGGCAGTGTACTCGACGGACGTTGGCTTGGCGCGCCTGGTGAAGAGAGACATACATAAATTGATGTCAGTGGAACGGTATAAGATGTGGAGAAGAGCGTAGGATACCTTCGAATTGGCAGGCTTACTATCGTCGTGGAAAGCCAAACTAGCAGCATCTTCTTGGTCATCAGAGCCACCCCCAGCGCTTGTTGAGGCAGCGATTCTCATCCTTTTCAAAGGACGTTCTTCAGAAAGTCCTTTATCTGGGTGGAATTTCAGACCAGCAATATCTTCTTGGCTGTCCAAGTCATCCAGATCGCCTGCTGAGGAAATGACTCTCGTCCTTTTCAAAGGGCGTTCTTCTGCTTGGTTCTGTTGCTTCAAAGGTTGCCGCAGTCGAAGTAGGACTTCCGGAGGAGCAGCTATTGACGGCAGTAATGCTTGGGCGATTGATGATATGGTGTCGTTCAGCTTGGCCAAGGAGCGCTCCATGCTACAAAGACGATCCTCAAGATTGTGATAGCTATCCAGAGATAGCGGGTCAGAAATGGTGACTGCAGGAGGGGTCTTCCACAACAATGACAGAGTCTTCTTAGAGGAAGACCGTTGTCGGGCGTACGATGCCTGGAGGGAAAGGGCCGCTTTTTCATCAGGGACATCCCCTCCAAAGCCCAGTAGTTCCTGCCAAAGGTCGCAAAATGACATGGTTCGGTGAGCCATTGAGTTGGTGAGTTGAGGGTGATCTTGGTGTGCTCTGGCATACATGCGATCGCCGGTCTCTTGACTGTGACCAAGCTGAGCATGTAAGACATCGTCATTTCTGGGCGACAGAATGTGAGAAATTTGATAATGTTCCGCAATACCAGGTAGAATATGTCTCAACGAGCTCATATTGAGGCTGATTTTTCCAGGAAGGTGTTTGGCAGTCAACTTCTGGAGTATGCGCGAAAGTCGTTCCGATGTCCATCGCTGGCCCATGCTGGATAATAGGTAGCAGTGATGATGAGGGTCGACATCCTCGGGAGCAAGAACTTGATCGATAGCCCAAGCGCTGATGCTAGCAACAGATGCTTGAAAACGCCTCAGGACAGCTTCTAAAGGGCGAGCAAAAAAATGCAACGTCAATTTGTCGTTACCTGAGTTCCGAGAAGACTTGCTGTAATCTCCAATGCACGCGAGGCGATGAAAAAGATACATGATGTTTCGCCCTCGAAAGCTGGTGTCGACAATCTTAGCGCGAATTTCTTCTGAACCTCGCTTTGGCATCCCTGGTATTTGATGCAATAGGAAGTAAAGGTGCTCCTTGAACTCTTCTACCTGCCACAGGTATTCCTCCCATGCCCCCTTGCGCGGCAAAGGATTTCCACTTGAATCGATACTAAAGTACTTTTTGCAAAGCTTATCGTCGTCCATCATAAACTTCACCGGATTCCAGGCGGCCTGCATCTCTGAAACCAGGACTCCATGGCCAATGACATGCTTGTGAGGCTGATCTACGACGTCTTCCGGATTCTTGAGATGCTGCAGTACAGCATCACCGGCGCCAAAGAGAAGGTCCCGGTCCAGTATGCGAGTCATCTCTCTGTAAACGCTGTGATACATGCTGGTCATGGAGGTGACGGAGAGGGGTTTCCCGTCGAATGTGAAGTCAGGGCCATCAAATGTGGTAAACTGAAGTCGTGGGAGAGCAATATGACCTCTGCATAGGGCATAGCACAGGCGTGAATATCGTCGGACGGAGCAAAACGGGGTTCGCATGCCGGGCTCCATCCACTGCTTCATGGAACTCATGAATGTTCTACGTGTATGAAATATTCAGCGATCGATCATGCAAGATGGAAATGCACCTTACTGGTATGGGTCGGAGGTTTTCATGACCTCAGTCAGGATGGAAAACATAGCAGCATAAATTAACTTTGCCAGGTGACTGGAGATGAGATGCGGCGGAACAAAACGTCCTTGCGCATCAACGCTGGTAGACATGATGAAGGAGTCTATCAAATAGTGAAGAGGACCGTGTAAGTCATGGTTGGTGTTGGTTGTGAAGACGGAAAGAATGACAGAATGATAGGCATCCATAAGCCAAGCTTCCGACGAACTCGGATCGGTACAGCGCTCCCTCAGCGCCTTAGCATGCTGAATCTGGACACCGTTCAATACTATGGGATAGGCAGCCTGATTGTCCGATAAATCCAGGTCTACCGGCTCCTCAGGGGCCTCTTCTTCCACAGATGTATCGCCTTCCGGCCATAAGATATCCTCATCTACCTCATCAACAAAGTCCATATCCACCCAATCCTGAGGGGGGTGCATGACGTCATCATCGTCCTCGCCATCATCGTCTACCTCTTCCTCAACATTTTCATCTATTGGGTGAGCGTCTGTGGCATCAGACCTATCCACAGTCCCCCCTATGGATGCAGATTGAGAGGACACAGCACGCAAGATCATCATGACCAGCCGATCACAATGGAGCCCATAAGTCTCAACAGAATCTTTTTCCTGCAATATTTGGAATGGGCGACTTCAGATCCTGTTAGCAATTCTGGGTACTGTATGGCTAGCCTAAAATCTTACTATCGAGGCCGCCAGCTGGTGAGAGCATCCAATAGAG